AAGCCCGCTCTAGGAGCAACCTAGGAGCCCTGGGGAACCCAAGGAGCGCTGGCCATTTCCCAGTTTAAGCATTGCAACTGAGTTTCCTGCTCCACTCCCAGTTCTGAATCCACCATCAGGTTTGGCTCCTCCACCCTTCCGACTACTTCCTCCTATCCTTATCACATCGACCTCCCTGTACCCAGTGCTCTCCAAATGTGATGGACTATAGTTCTCATCATCCCAGATGGGTCTGTAATCCGACAAAGTTATGGGCCACTAAACTGCGGAGTGCCACCTTGTATTTCCCCTTTGCTGTGTTGCATAAGGTAGAAAGGAATTGAGGTCGATTAGTCACTTCGGTTTTAATCGAATCCACCTTGTCTTTTCATGGAGGGAGGGGGGCTGGGGGAGAGAACAGTTCGGAACCAAGCAGCTCCCTACTACAGGACTGTCTTGGTTCGTGTTTCACCCTTTTTAAAAAGTTCCATGCAGCGCAACTCCACGATCCCCCATTTGGGTTCCTCAAAGCACTTTACTTGCTTGTAAGGTTAGACGACTCAAACGCGCCAGCGTCTGCGCAGCCCCGCTTGTGAAAATGGTCGCAAGACCGCCGCAAATCTTCCAGGTCGCTGCGACCCGAATCTGGCAGACAAGGAAGGGAAGCAAAGGCTGCAATCAATTTCCTCCGACAGGAGTCCGAACGAGACCTCTGGGGACCATAAGGAAGTGGCGGCGGCGGCAGGGACTTCGGAAAACCATTTCTGTCCTGCCCGCAGCCTGGCATAATGTTTGCGAAACGAACTCTGGCTAGGCAAGCAGCGGATCGCACTGCAGGACTGCGCGAATCTCAGCGAAGCAGCCGGACAGCGAGAGTGAAAGCGAAGGCCCTCCGCGCAGAGTACATTGGTCATTCCGCCCCTTTTTATAGCAGGACTCCAATGCTCTACATAGCCTTTTATTTCGTCTTCCTGTTGCCGCCTGAAAACTGGTGATTCAAACTCCAGTCCAAATATTTGGACTTAAAATCATAAAATCTAATTTGCCTCTTCCAATCGTCAGCAGAATAGGTCTTGATACTCAAAAGATGATACACTAAGTTAAAACGCCAGGCAGTCCGTCCAATCTCAACAAGGTGTCTCCATTCTTCAAATACTTCCTAAGCAAAAGTCCCCCGATGGGAGGTCCGGGTTGGGGGAAAAGAAGATTGAGAGAAACTTACCAATTCCAGCCTAGTTTAAACATTGAGCAAAGAAAGGGGACACAAGAAAATGGAAGCCTGGAGAAATTCCAGCCTAGTTTAAACATTGAGCAAAGAAAGGGGACATAAGAAAATGGAAGCCTGGAGAAATTCCAGGTGGATACCATTTGGAAAGGCCAAAAGCAGAAAACATGGTTTTCTCAATAGTGCCTTTTGCTGACCTCTCCACAGAACCTTGGACTGGCTTTTAAATTCCTCCCTACCAAAAGTCAGGCGCTCCAAATTGCGGACAGATCCCATGGAACGACGCCGCGTTGGGTGCGGTACAGAACGACTGCCGGCAAGGAGACTGCCCGACTTTTCCAGTAAGGAGTATATCAACCGCCTGTTAAGTGGTCGCAAAGAAGCTGCTGCCTTTCCTAGGATTCCCGTACTCTTTTGGATAGGGTGTGAATAGGAGGTGTCCCTTCCCACGTTTAGAGCAAGTCTTTTATCCTGATCCCTGCTCACTGTTTTTCTATTCTTTTATAGGTCCCCTTCCATACTCGCTCATTTCTTCTTTCAGTTTACTTTAGGTTTGGGCTTGGTTTTGTTTTGTTTTAAATCAGGAGTGCCATTTTCAATGTGTGGGGGCAGGATGATAGGTCCTTCCTTGGGTATTGTTCCACGCTGATTTCAGAAGCTTCTTTTGGTATTGTTTGGGATTGTTTTTAATCACAGAGGGGGCTAGGCATTCTATTAAATTACAAAATAGTGAATTGGCCAGCGTTCGGAAACAAATCCAATTTCTAGCACAGATGAAACCAAGCATAGCCCCCACCACTTTCCTAAAATAGCAGCAGAAAATAAACACGCTCAAAAACAGCTCCAGCTGTCAAAGGACAGGAGCATCCAGCGGAAGGTAAAGGCGTTTAAACCGTTTGGGAAGAGAGGCAGTGAGATGCATTGCGTGCTCCTAAGCAGGAAAGTCCTCAGTCCCAGGGGCTCCTGCTTCTTAAGTAACGCCCCTGTCTTTAGCCCCAGCAATAAGGGTGTCTTGAACGGGCAATCCTTTGCACGCCCAGATTTCGGTCTCACTGAGTTCCGGGGCATAAAGTTTCGGATATGCCTGGCTAGAGCTGCTCACATCTCAGAGGGGTGAATTGTTGCTGGATCTTGCCATAAATTAATATGTTTAATTTAGACGCCACACAGTCATACATTGGGCAGCTTTAAAAATGTGATAAGTCAAGTATTGTCTCCTGATTTAAGCTTTCTTCCACTACTTCAGAATGCCAGGCTTCCTAGGAGACACTAGCCCACTTTTGGACTTGAAATGCAGCTCCTCGCCTTCTGCTCATTGTCCTTCCCCCTAAACTTGCAAGACACATTTGGGCACTGGCAACGATGGGTTGATTCTTTTAGTATTAGGGAAATATGTGTATATGCATAAAAGCTCTCTGGGCGGCTTTTGGGTAAACATTTTCTAAAACAGTAAGAGAGAGAGAGAGAGAGAGGGAGGGAGGGAGAGAGAGAGAGAGAGAAATCTAACAACTGACCAAAAGAAATACAGAATCTCATCTAAATTCACACGTGGTTCTCCTGCATCAATTTTATATATGTTTCCCCAATGGTTTCCCAGAGAACTCCGGCGGGAGGAACAACTTACTCCTAAGGAGGAGAGGAAGGCAAACTTATTATTTTTTTTTTCAATTGCAGCTGGAGACGTTTTTAGCATATGCTTAATTGCTTCAGTGCTTTCGATTTTTTGTATACTTTCCTGTAAATAAGACCCTTTCACCTCAGCAGGAGATGCTTCTGGATAAACAGGCATAGAAGTGTCTCATTTTGTTAGACCACTCATTTTGGTTTTAGTAAGATGGACAGTCCAAATCTACTCAGCTCCAATTAGTTGAACAGCATTAATTCCCAGATGAGTATTAGGTTGCAATCTTACGTGTCTCATATAACTTCTTGAACATTACAAAACAACTTTCAAACAAACGTACATAATATTGTTAACTATCCTGAATATTTTATCAGGTAATGATTCTCAGATACCCTAAAGTACTATAAGGTCTATAACATTTGCATTATAAGCAAGATCTTCTGTGCTGCTGCACAAGTCTGATTAGGGATGATTGGTCTTCAAGCATCGCATATTATGACTCTCGAATCCTGTTTCAGCAGGGTTGGGGACGGGTGGAATAATTCATGGAGCCAATCTTTTTACTGCCAAAGGAGCATGATACATTCTGAAACATTATTCTCATTATCCTCACTTCTCATCACTCACAAGTGATGCTTTCCTTGATTGTCAGCCAAGGTAGGAAAGGAGTAGAAAATACTATGAAAAATTATTTAAATTACAACGATCTTCTTCAGGGCGAAAGATAGTGGAATACAAAGATAAACTTGTTGTAAAGCGCTCTTTCTAAATGCAAGTCCCAGATATATCTGCACCGCATCCTCGCACTTCAGAGGCACCTGAGTAAATGCCCCTGTAAATCTGCAAACGCGGACAAAGCGCTGGGATTGGTTTTAGCGTTTGGAACCTGAAAAACAGTCTGTAAAGCGATTAAACTAAGCAGGCAACTTTAGGGACTGAAGATGCCTTAAAGGAGAGGAAGGCAGGATCGCTCCCGCTCCCGCTCCTTCCCTTTCATCCCTGGCCTTGGCAGTGGGGACTTGGTCATCCCCCTTCAGCAGCTCGGGGGCCCGCTGCACCTCCCCTCCCCTTCCCTCCCCTCCCTTCCTCCGAGGCTGTCCGGGGCGCTT